TGAGCTATTATTACTCATATGGTCTTGGTCATATAAACCATTAGGCTTGTCTCTTTGGCTTGGAAAAGTTTTGGATGTAAGGCTTAGTTGGGTGTGAAGTACACTAAGCTACGTTGGGTTGTGTTGAAGAAGGTGGCTAGACTAAGGAGACTAGACAACTAGACTATGAGGGCTAGGCATTCTAGGCTAGGTGGGTTACATGTGCTACACGAGGTTGGCTAAGTGTGCTTGGCTAAGTGGGCTAGGTAGGACATGCTAAGTAGGCTAGGTAGGCTAGGGTAGGCTAGGTGTGCTAGGTTAAGTAGGCTAGGTAGGCTAAGGGATGAGATGACCACTCAAAAATATGGCGGCCCTTTGACATCACCTCCCCTAGGAGGCAATACCGACAGCAATGGGAAAAGGTACTGCTCTTATGGCTTAAGTACCCCGGAAGATCTTGAGGTTGCGACACTAATAGGTCAATTTCGACTAGAGTACACCTCACGATGCTTCCTAAAGAGTGGTTTAGGTAAGGGAGTATGGGTAGGTATGGAGTATATAATAAGTATGGAGTATGTATAGAGGTGGAGTATGGGTAGGTATGCAGTTTGGTAGGTATGGAGTATGGATGGGTATGGAGTATGAATAAGTATGGAGTATGGAGGATTATGGGATATGGACTAGGATGGGAGTGTGGTCTAACTAGAGAATATGGTAGGAGAGGGGTATTATCCCTTTGGCACAAAGTTTTCTCTCTCATCTCTCAAGGGTAATGGATTTTTAAGAAAGCACAATGCAAACTACACAATGGATTTTCAAGAGACAATAATGGGGGATTTCTGGCAGCATTTGCCAAACACTTTAGATTTGCGTCCAATAATTATACAGAATTTCAGGCTCTAGAGGAAGGTACTATCTTAAGTGTGCAAATGGGTTGTTCCTAATACAGATAGAAAGTGATTCATCTCTATTAGTAAATGTTATTCATAATCGATGCAGTGCCCCATGGAGATTACAGATGTTAGTTGACAATTGCAGTGCAAGGCTCTTGCCCCATAGGTGGTATATTGCCTATGTCTTTTGCGAGGCGAACATGGTAGCTGATGCTCTTGCTAAGAGAGCATCGGTTTATTCAGGGGCCACGATTCAAACGTTCTTTCTCTTCATTACATGTTTTGGCGCAACTGCCCTATTATACGGTTGTAAAATAATGTGCTCTTCATTTTCTATTAATGAAAAAATCAAACAGAGGGCCTTCTACCCCCACTGACTTACCCAAAAAAAAGGGGGGAAGTTTTGAAATGTGGGGGAGAGAGGAAGAGAAATTTTAGGAAAGTTAATTTATTACGAAAGAGAAAGAGTGGAGGTACGTGAGAATATTAGTAAGGAAAGAGGAGAGAGAGAAAATCGTGGGGGGTTATTAGGAGAGAGAAAATATGAGAGAAATTTTACGAAAGTTGATTTATTAGGAGAGAAAGTAGGTACATGAGAATGTTGGTAAAGAAAAAATAGAGAGAAAAGAGAGGGAAAATTGTAGTATTACATTAGGATATATTTTATAATAATTCAATAATTATTATTGAAAATTATAATAAAACTAAATTATTTTTGTTACTATTAGTATTTATAAATAAATAGTTACCATTGTAGTATTAAATATATTTATTACCATGAGATTATTATTTCCTAAAAAATACACTATACTTGTATGATTCATATATCAAAAAATAAATTGCTGCAATTAAACAATGAGTATCGCATAAAAAATGAAAATTCACTTATGCAAAGATGATGATGTAACATTTACTCACCTTCATGAAATTTTGCATGTGTCCAGGCATGGCAACTAATAAATTTTATTAGGGTGTATTTTATCATCTATGTAAGCACCTTGCATAACTGCATTGCACATATAAAAGTATAACTGATAAGTAATTAAAATTATTTAGTCTTACATTAAATACTACACACACTTCTAAGTAAAAATAATATTGAACAACTCTAATATCCAATGAGCGGCCAAATGAAGGCTCATCGAGATTCTCTCTTAAAGTAGCCAAGGCTGCTAGATACATCTTTTTTGCTTCTTCCATGGCATGTAGCTCGGCTTCACCTATGGGTTCCTGGAAAAGAAAAAGAAAAAACAGAAATCCAGATAATATACAATATCAAAAGAAAATAGAAACCAATATACCTATGTAGAGGAAAAAAATATGATTGCCTTGCATAACTTCATTGGACATATAGAAGTACAACTGATAAACAATTGAAATTATTCAGTTTTTACATTAAACACTACACACACTTCTAAGCAAAAGGCAAAAGTAATACCGACGAACTCTAATATCCAATAAACAACCAAATGAAGATTCATCTAGGTTCTCTCTCAAAGTAGCCAAGACTGCTATATACATCTTTCTTGCTTCTTCCAGAGCATGTTGATGGGCTTCATCTATGGGTTATTGAAAAAGAAAAACCCAAAAAAATAAACATAAATTCATACAATATAGAATATCAAAAGAAAATGGAAATCAACATACATGTGTAGAGGAAAAACATATGATTGCCTTGGAGAGAATTAGCATAGTCACATTTGTCATGAGAGAGAGTTGTGGCATGCATGAGAGAGGCAGAGAAGAGAGAGATATGGCGTGTATGTGTGTGAGAAAGACAGTAATGTGGGTAGGAGAATTGTGTTAGGGGGAGAGAAAAAGTAGAAGGAGAAAGATGGGAGAGAGATATATGGGAGAGAGGTATGTGTGATGGGAAGAGAAATATGGGAGAGATAAATGTCGGAAGGGAAGAAAAATATAGAAGGGAGTGAGAGAAAACCATAGAGAGAGAGAGAGATTAATTTACTTAAATTTGAAAGAAAAAGGAATTTACTTAAATTAAGAAAAGATTGAAGATAAGAAGCCACCACATTAAAAAAATGAGTTACCTAAAAGATTAGGTGCCATCATACTAAAAAATAAGTTACCTATTTTTATGCTTTTGCATGCCTTTAAGGAGACAGAAAGGAGTTGCCAATTTTTATGTCCTTGCATGCATGTAAGGAGAAAAAGAATTAGAAGGAAAATATAGAAACCTGGAAGAGAGGAAAAGATGAGTAAATTAAGTTTGCTTTAATTGAGAGAGAGAAAAGACGAGGTGTTATCACACAACCAAAGGAGTTGCATATTTTTATGTATTTGCAATGCATGTAGGATGGAGAGGGGGAGAGAGAGAGCTAATATAGAAAAGTGAGAGAGATTGAGAGAAGATGAGGTGTCCTCACACAACCAAAGGAGTTACTTATTTTTATATATTTGCATGCGTGTAAGATGGAGAGAGAGAGATAATGGAGAAACGTAAGATAGATGAAAAGCAAGAGTAAATTAAGATAAATAAAAGAGAGTGTACAGAAATATGGGAATGAGAGAGGGATAAGAATTGAATGAAAAAAAAACATGTGGCACGATAATAAGAAGGTGTTGCTCTCGTTTATTATATAATTAGTTATACGCATGAGCGTTGCATGTGAAATAAATTATTAATTATAAAAATATATTTTTATTTTGAAATAATATTTTTAAATGACTTTCGATTATAGAGAGAGTTTCAAATAGATCCATCTTCATATAATTATAGAGAGAGAAAATAGACCTACTTTGCTAGTCTTATTGGATAAAAATAATTGGGAAACAATAAAGTAAATACAAAAATATAAATATTTTTCTCTTATTCTAATTTAATGCCTTCTACTTATTTATGGGTCTAAACCAGCACCCAAAAACTTCCTTATTATGTTTTTTTTTTTCTTCTTAATTATATCATTCACTAAATTAATTTTACTTATATTAATATATATTATTTATTTATAAGTTAGTATTATTTTGATAAATTAACAAAACTAAAGATGACAAAAAGAAAAATAATAATCCATAGGAGCAAACAATCCATTTACTCCCTCAGACAAATTTTTGTGGGAAATGAGATAGATGTTAATGAACTCAAAATCTAAGTTTTTTCTTTAAAAATAATCATATACTTATCTATAAACTTGAAATGGAAATAAATCTCTATAATGTGTTGCCTGAGGGAATAAATGTATAATATGCTCTCTCCAAAGAGCATTGATGCGCACTCACATAAAATACGTATTTTTTATATGTGACGGGAGAGCAGGATTTTTTTCGCATATTTCGTACAAGACTGTATATAGGATCGATCCCGGTGCGCCCAAAGGCCAAGGAGGCATCGTGTTGTTCGAGTACTGTATTCGGAGGGATAATAAAAAATGGTTTCTTACTCCTGCGTGAGTGTACTATTCAGTTACTCACCTAGGCAAATAAATAAAAATTTAACTATCGCTCTCTATGTCCCTAAAAAAAGTAACATCCTAAGATTGCACTTGAAGACAGCTATCTAGAATTTCAAGAACTCAAAATCTAATTTTTTAAAATAATTATCAGAAAAAGTTTATATAAGATTACAACAATAAAATATAAAATAATTGATGCATCTAAAAAATCCATTGGAAAAGACTGTTTTAATGTTGAAAAACCCTTTGATCATCTCGACAACGATATGTATGACTATGACAAAAAAAATATTTTGAGTTCCAAAAATAGTGCATCTTGCAATACATCTAGACCGTTTATTTCAAGAAATGTTTATAGATCTACTTGATCGATTTTTAAAGTTTAAAATTTTATAATCAAGATATGAAAATAGATTTTGAGATAACTCCAAAAAAAAAATTTATATCAAAATTACATATTATGATAAAATTTGAAAAGTACGCCTTAATTGGATTGTTTAAGGTTGCAAGCTTAAGGTGCAACTACACCCATTATCAAATACTGATGTATCTCGGAATTTCAAGAAAAAAGAAAAAGAAAAAGAATATCTTGCAAGCGATTTGCCGGTCGGACCAGGTGTATAATTTGCTCCCGCTAAGGATTTAAGGATTTTCAATCTTTTTATTTAACGAATTTTTACTCCCCTCGCATCTTATTAACGTGACTATATCTCCCAAGCACCGACTCAAATAACAAACGTGCTGTCTGAGCTCATGAGCGCTGCTTACTGCCACTTTGATCTGATGTGCTCTTCTCCATCCTCAGACTCCATTATTCTGGCCTGGTAAGTGCTCGCCTTTCATCATTCATTCATCTTACTTCCTTGCTTTCATATTCAATATTGAGAAGTTTCTTCATGTCTCTTTTTATTTTTATAATTTTAGGGGTTCTGGCGAGGATGGACAGTTGGGCACTGGCAACTCTGAGGAGAAAGAATGGGTCTGCAGTGTTAAAACTCTGGAGGGAGAGAATGTGGTGGTGGTGGTCGCTGGTAGCAGGAATTCTCTTGCAATCTGTGATGATGGGAGGGTAGCTCAACACTCATCACCTATTGCCATTGCATTGTGTAAATGTTGGGTTGTTTTCTTTTTCAATTGAGGTAATGGCCCCCCTTTTATTTTTCAGCTTTTTACATGGGGTTGGAACCAGAGAGGCACCTTGGGCCACCCTCCAGAAACGAAAACTGAGAGCATTCCCAACCAGGTCCATCCCTTCTTTTTTTTTTCTTCTACCATCCACTTCTCTTTCATCCCCACTCCCTTTTTCTGTGTATCTTCTTCCCTTTTCAGCATTGTTCTTCTCTTTGTTGGTTTTTTTTTTTCATCTTTTCTGCTTTTGATGCAGGTTAAATCTCTGAGCCATGTGAAGATTGTTCAGGTAAGGATCGTTTCTTGCTTAATGGGTTTTGTCAATTCTCTTGCTTTTCTCCTTTCAAATTAATTGCCTTACAAAACCCATAAACCATATATGGAACCTGATTCCATAGAAGTTACGAAGACTGTACCTTATTCCAGTGGACTATAGTACCCTGTACCCCAATTGTACATCCGCCATCGATTCCCACCGACAGATGGTTGGACATTAACTGGAGTGGAGCAAGCGTGCAGGACATCATCTGTGTACAGTTAATCTCTGACCATCCATTTCGGAACAGACGGAACCAATGTTCTCCTGAAAGTTGGAGAAAACCTCTGTAGACTAGCACCCAACTGGTTTGTGGTCAGAGCAGCTATAATTTATTATTTTGGTTTATGTCATGCTTTGCTTTTGCAGGCAGCAATTGGTGGGTGGCACTGTTTGGCTGTGGATGATCAAGGCCGTGCCTATGCTTGGGGTATCCGTCCTTCTTTTTCTCCCTTTGCTTTAGTTTCCCCTTTCCTATGATAAAGGCCCAAAGGGATGAACTTGAATCCTCAAAAAAACAAAAAAAAAAACACAAGAAAAAAAGAGAATAAACATGTAACAATTGAGATGGAAATTCTCGTGCTGGGTAATTATGAAAAAAGTAGGAACTACTTAACCTGTAAATAATTCATGAAATGGTAAACTAAACTTATCTTTCTTCTGCAAACACTTACTTTCATTTTCCCATATTCCTTAAAATTCCTCACACATGTTATACCACTAAACAGGTTACACGATTCGCCGGAGTCTACTTGGACTCGGCGAGTAGGCCGAGTTACCCCGAGTAGTTGTACAATTAAGGGTTCACAATTTTTTTTTTAAAAATCCAAAAAAATAATGAAAAATGGGAATATAGTATTTTTTTGTGTATAATTTGGGTTTTTTGGCAAAGCTTGATGACTGTTTTTTGCATAATCCCTATTTTTATATTCCTTTTTCCTGGATTTTTGAAATGTCCCCAACTCTGAATCAATTTTTTAAATCAGTTTTTCTATAGATTTTGAGTTTATCTGGACTTTTTAAGGTTGCTTTTATTTTACTTTTACTACCTTTATTTTATTTTTCCCTTTATTATTTTCTAGGGTTTTTTTTCTACCTTTATAGCTGCTTCCAAGTGCGACCTTTTGGTACTTCCACAGCTACTCTTACTTCACGTAGAATATAAAGTCTTGTGCAAGTCAAATTACAAAGGCCACATCGCTTCCTCTGGTGTAAGCCAAACACATTTTTCACTATTTTGGTCTCAAATTGTATGCTAGTTCACTCAGCACTGCCTTTTTTATTTACCACTGTCGTTACCAAGTGAAAAATTATTATGGAATTCCTCATTCCATCACCATTTTGTTATGGTGTACATGATGAGATCAACTAGTGGTGCATCCCATGATCCTTACAGAGGTTCTAATGAGTACCTCATGCCACTTAAAATAATTTTAAATTACTTTGTCATATCATTTTTATTATCCTAGGAAAAATGTGATTTTTGACATATTCGCATTTGGAGTCGTAATATTATTTCTGTCTCTCATAAAAGTATAACTTTTGTCTAAATTAAGTTGATGAAGAATATAATCACCTTTTGTTGCTAGAGTAGTAGAAGGTTTGTATGCACTTGAATTTGACTCATTTAGCTCCACAATCATTTCCTTCTTCTAACATCTGATAAAATTGGAATGTACCGGGAAGATTACCATGGCCCTGGCGCAAGGATGACACACACTAATCTAGAAATGGTCCAAATATTTTTCTTCAAAAACAATTTCCTTCTCTTGATATATAGGTCTTGTTTCCTTCTTTTAGGTTTTTCTCATTTGGATACTATGTGCTTGATTTTGGCCAAGTACTATATATAAAAATGGATATCTTGGATTTTCATTTAATTGAGGTGGCAAGCAAAATTTCTTTTTCTTTTCTCTTTTTGATAAATTTTTCATCTTACTACCATTATTGAATTTTCTACCTTATCTCTATTTTCTTCTTTGAAATGTGTTTTTGGCTTTTTTTTTTAATACGGAACTCTTCTTTTGTATACTCTAAACTAAATTCCATCAATGATCAATTTGTAAATGTAAATTGAACTGTACAACAAAGTACAATAAAGTTTTGAGAAATTTACCCATATATCCCATATAAATAGTGTTATTGCAATATCTCTTTGTTTTTTTTGAAATGTGCTTTTGGCTTTTTCTAGTATGAAACTCTTCTCTTATATGCTCTTAACTAAATTCCATCAATTGATCATTTGTAAATGTAAATAGAACCTTATAGTAAAATACAATTAATTTTTGAGAAATTTACGCATACATCCCATATAAATAGTGTAATTGTGAAATTACCCTTTGATTTTTATATATTACGAACATATTCTTTTTGCCTATCTTTTTTATTCCAATTTTATCCTCACTCTTGGAGATTGAAAATACAAAGTCACCAGATCGTTTGATGACTTTGGATTTTCAAGATCAGTCATCTAGAGTGTCTTCAGATTTTCAATATACAAAGTGAGTCCTTTTTCTTCCTAAAAATGACTTTTAAAAAAATACAATTGTTGATATTTGTGATTTTGAATTTTCAATCTCCATAGTGACGGTAAACATGAAATTAAAAGAAAAGACAAAAGGTATCTTCATCATTATCATCAGAGCCTTTTCCCAACTATTTGGAGTCGGCTACACAATCCTGGTTTGCCATTATGCTCTAACAAGGGCCATAGCCTCAATGAGGCCATAACTTCCTTTTTTGAGCCTTCCACTTGAACTAACTCGTATCTCCTAACAATTGCTGTATTGGGTCTGCACTGCACATGGCCAGCCCATCTAAGTCTACTTTCTCTCATATTATTGCCTATTCATGCCACACCTAAATTCTTCCAAATGTTTTGATTTATGATTATAGCCCTTCTTGTCTTGCCACTCATCCATCTCAACATCTTTATCTCAACTACACTTATCCCATGGGTATGTTGTTTCTTGATTGCCCAACATTCCAATCCATAAAGCAAAGCTGGTTTCACAGTTGGCCTATAGAACTTGCCTTCAGCTTTATTGGTATGTGGTGATCACATAAAACTTTGGTTGTACATCTTCACTTCACACACTTAGTTCTAGTTCTATGTGCAACAAAAAGGATATAATGTAATATTAAAAAATTAGCAAAGATTTATGTAATTACGATATTTATATGAAATATAGGGGTAAATTTCTCTAGAATTGTACATAACCCTTTTTAATGGTCCTTTTCAAAAAGGCATCAAGTGATACCATACAACCAAAAAAAATACAAAATAAACTTTTTTTATTCCCCAAAAATGTCCAAGATTAATCTAACTTCAATAAAACTTGCATAACATCTTGAACGTAATTGGTTAGTTAATCTTGACATCTATCTAGGTGGCAATGAATATGGGCAATGTGGTGAGGAACCCGAGCGCAAAGATGATAATAGTAAGGCTTTGAGAAGAGATATTACAATTCCTCAACGTTGTGCCCCCAAGCTTTCTGTTTGCCAGGCGAGTTGAATTTCTATTTTAACTTTTTGGATTGATTTGGGAGTTTGTTAGTAGTATATTTAGTATTGCTGCGATGTAAAAATATTGTTTAATCTTTACAATCATGACAGCAATATTTCTTCTTTGTTCTTTATATCCTTTTAAGGTATTCTTGATTATTTGAACATTCTTGTATAAATACAAAATATTGAGTGAACTGCAGTATAACTTTCTTTTGAGAATGTATTTATCAATCTAGTGCCGAAGGTGGTGTTTTAGGATTCAGTGCCGCAAGACATTAAGTGGATTTCTAGGTTTTGTTGCTCCCACCTATAGCATTGAATGCAACCCAAGCTGCAGCAGTTGTATTCGTTTTATATGGATAAGGCCTTGTTACGAGGTTGCTCATGCTCAAGGCAATGGTGGTTGTTGAGACTGCCTGGATTCCAAGGATATCTCTTTCCAGGTGTAAAGTAACCTCCTAATACCATGATCTAAAGAAGCTAACAAATCGTCGTGACAAATAATCAGAGCTTCAAATTTCATATCATAGAAGCCTTTTCAACTATCTTTAAAAAAAGAAAAATCCTGGAAGCTCTCTCATGAATAGAGGTTTTTATTTATGGTAGAGGTCCTTGTTCTTCTATTATTGTTTGATGGGAGACCAAAATTATATCGTCATGCCAAGAAGGAGCTTGATAAATTTTCATTCAATCCTTTCATACATTTAACATTGAGGCGATCAAACGAAATTTATAAGAGGAATCAATGAGATGAATCCCAATTTGGAGTCTTGACTAAATTCCTACATCATATGTTCTATAGATGTTCAGTCGGTATTGGCAATTTGCGCGTAGATGATGTTTTTGTGGAAATTAGAGTTTAAGAAAACTAGGTGGAGCCCCTACTTCTAAGACTAATGCTAGCATTAAGGAGATGTGTATTTGCTACTTTGTGGAGCAGATGAAGACCTGTTGGTGGACATTCTTGTAGAAACTAGCAATGAATCAAAAAGTTGCTTGCCTAGCACCTAGGCGCGCCAGGGGGCCTATGAGCATCGCCCAGGTTTAGGCGGGTGTCCTGGGCAAAGAGTCCCTTGGTGACCACCGGGCACCTGGGACCCTGGCTTGGCGGGCTCCCAATTACCAGCCTTGGGCGGCCGCCCAATGACCAGCCTTCGGCGGCCGCAATGCATCCCGTTTAGGGGTGAAAATGGCCCTCGGTGAGGCGTATTTTTTATCTGTTTTAGGATATTGTGCCACTTAAACCCCTTTGTTTACATTTAGAGTGGAAAAAAATTTAAACACAATCATTTTTTACATTTCTAAGAGAGTAATTGGGTATTTCAGAGTTTTGAAAAATCGATCCAAACATTGACTTTTTGGTTTGGATTTGATTTTGATGATTTTTGTAGCTTATTAAGGGGTTTTGGGAGGTATTTGAGATTGAGAAACATCTCAAACATTGAAGATTGGAGATCGAAAAAAAGGTTTGTTAAAAATCTTCATATTCGAGATTTTATTTGTTATTTCAATGTTTTCGTGGGGTTCTTCTAGAAATGGTTATCCAGGTTCGAAGTATGGTTATTACCTAAATCCAAATGAAAAAAAATCATATAAGATGTAATTATTGCGAAAAAGATACTAATCAGGGTATAAACCGGTTTAAAAGACAGGAATAAAAACATAGTCATTTGGATAAGTCTATTTCTGGTTCTTCTAGGCATGGTGATCTGGGTTGGAAGTATGGTTATAACCCGAAACCAAATGATTAAAATTATATAAGGTGTAATTTTTGTGAAAAAAATACCAATAGGGGTATTAATCGATTCAAGAAACACCTAGTTGATATCAAAGGGAATGTTGCTTCTTGTAAAAAGGTTCATGACATTATTAGGGATGAGATTAGACAATATTTGAATTTAGTAAAACTAGAAAGGGAAGAAAAGGAGCTTTGTTATATGGAAATATCTTCTCCAGGTTCTTCTAAAGGTGGTGATCCGGGTTGGAAGTATGGTAATAACCTGAATATGAATAACAAAAATTGTATAAGGTGTAATTATTATGGGAAGGATACAAATGGGGGTATTTACCAGTTTAAGAAACACTTTGCTGGTAGTAAGGGGGATGTTGCCTTGTGTAAAAATGTTCCTGAGGCTACTAGGGAGGAGGTTAAGCAATATTTGAGTTTAGTGAAACACAAAAAACAAG